GGTTACACTCGACTTCTTTCGACATCCCAAACACACGGACATGGATAACTTTCATTGTGTGCAATCCCAGTGGCACAGGGAGAGGGTAAGATTTACCCACGATCTGACAGCACAGCTTGAAGTTGGTAAGATAAGTGTTTATTTTAATCTTTAAATTTTAATTTGTAGATACGACGTGACGTGCGTGGTATTTTTCGAGGTCATTCAAATTAATGTTCTATTAAATTAAGTTAAATTACTACGCGCCACTATAGTGGCTTCCGTGGATAATGAATGGTGTCTACTCTATGGTGTCTTACTAGTCGAATAAAAATTCTATTGGTCTTGATAAACATTTCTTTTTTTCGCAGAATCATAAAAATATCCTAAATATCATAATTTCATTATTTTAAATCAGTTATCATGATAATTATAATATGGTAGTACCAATGAATGCTTCAATATAATTTCAGTGAGGAGATGGGAAAAGATACGGGAGGGTATACAATTTATTACATTATTTCCCACTTTTATCTTTTACTTCTTTTTCTTCTTCTTCTTCTTCTTCTTCTATATTAAAGATATATAAAACTTGTTGTTCACGTTTGTAGCATGTTATCGTTGATTTTTTCATTTAGTTCTGCATTCCTCTCGATCGGCAGTTTGAGGCCAAACGCAAACATGCATTTTAGTGTCGTAGACCAGACCATCCTGGCATTGATACTTTCGAGGAATTCCAAAAACGCATCGGTAATACTACAATCCAAAAATATTCATTATATATTATAGCAGATCAAAAAGAACAAATATAATATTACAATATGATGCATTAATTAAAGGGACTAAAGTATTGCTTAGAAAGTAATTATAAAATAAAGGAAGAAGAGAAAATGGAATGGTGAATCGAAATGCAGGCGCCATTTTGACAAATGATCCCGTCCGTCTTCTGGGAATTTTTTTTTCATTAATTCAATAAATACAAATCTATTATAAAAATCTGTAAATTCCAATTAAATACGATAATATTATTTTTCATTAATTTATCTTTTTCGTTTTTTTTTTTATCTTGATAAAATGATTCAGATGAAATTGATAAGTGTAAGAGAGAGAGATAATGAATACATACCACGGCACAATTTTTCGAAGGAAGATATTCTTCGCCTTCGCAAACAACTTTCTCATCATCATCAACCGGCGGTGATGGTGGTTTAGAAGTGGAGGTGGGTTTAGAACTTGGTTTTCCTGTTGGTACAGTTGGCCTAGTAGTTTCCTCGGTATCTCTTGTCGTCTCAGGTTTATTCGACGGGGAAGATGTTGTACTTGGTGGCCTTGCCCATTCCGGCTGGACAACAAATAAAACCGATATTCAATGTGTCCTATGTCTTTTAATTCATTGTCTATTAATTATTTACCGTAAGCGTAGTTTGATGATCTTTTTTAGGAACTTTGTAATCTTTCAAGCCATCGTAAACGACTTTCATGAGAGGATTCTTTTCTCCGCAGAGACCATTAAAATCGTCCATATCGATAGCCCAAATCATGGCACCGGCATAGCTTTGTTCTTTAATAAAGTCCATTTTGATTTTAACACTGTCGGGATCTTCGTAACCAACCCACTGTGTTTCTGGATGAAGACAAAGTTTTTTAATACTTATAATATTTTCCAGTTTATCATTACGAATTAGTATCTTTTCTAAAAATAAATGTACCTTTGTAAGTATAAGGTACTTTGCCAATGGAGTCGTATTTCTTAGTCCAGCCAGACTTTGGATCATTGACTTCTTTGCAGATCTAAATAAGTATGACATCGATATTATTTTCCCTCTAATTATACTTGCGCTTGACAACATTTTATTGATCGCGAGTGAAATGACATATAATTAAAAGTAACCTCATAATATGCCAAGAATCCTCTAGCTTGTGTGTATGGACCAGGATCACCACCACCTGCTTCCTTGTTTATGTACGTTCCTGGATTATAATTCGTGTTACCACGTGCAAGGGTGAACGTACGACCATAGAAAGGTACACCGACGACCAATTTATTGGCTGGGCACCCTTTGTCTTCCCAAAGCAAAAGACCATCGTGCTAGGAAAAAAAAAAAGTATATTAAAGATATAGAAATATCAACTTTGTGCTCAAAATATATTTACCACATTAAGCTTTTCATAAGCATAACTGTCATGGGGTCTTTTGTAAAGTGGACTGTGAACATCAGCAAATCCAGCCCAGTTTCCACGAAGATCATAAGACATAACATGAATAGCGTCTAAATACCTGGATAAAAATGATTAACAAAGTGAATAAATGAAAGTTACGAAAGTAAGTCAAACGGACTAGGGAATATACTCACTTGCAGAATTCGGGAACGTGGTAACCTTCGTCGAGACGGAATTTAGCCATAGGTACGGCCATAGTGATTTCCCAGCCTTTACCTTCTTTATCAAATGCACGTTTAAGTTCTTCAACGAAATAAAAGAAATTATTTCTGTCGGAAAACTTGCCACCTCTGTCTGAGGCACCTGGGTATTCCCAATCGAGATCGAAACCATCGAACTCATATTTGTACATAAATTCTGCAACAATTATTATAAGATACAATGAAGAAGATAGACATTAGCATAGTTTAGATAAGTTATTGTAATAAATATATATATATAGAATAAATGAGTGTAGAATAGGAGAACTTACCAACGACACTTTTGATAAAAGTATCTCTGCGTTGTTTCACCGTAACGAGGTTGCTATACTTCTTACCACCCTCTCCCCAACCTCCGACAGCAACTTCAGTTTTCAAATGAGGATACTTTAGTCTGAGTTGGGTGAAGTTCTTGAAGCCACCCTTTTGAACGTCGAGTTCTTCGTCCAAGACGAGTACTTCCCAGGTGACATTGCTTACACCGATGAAGGAATATATCACGTGTGTGCATAATTCTGCCGGTATGTCGTTGATACCGTAACTACCAACGCCAGGTCGATAAATTGCCCAATTGCTGAAGTAACAGACAATTCTGGCGTTCTGGTCTGATACAGAGAGAGAGAGAGAGAGAGAGAGAGAGAGAGAGGGACAGAGAAAAAGAGAGAGATAATTCAAGATTTCATAAGTGATTACTATTTTTTGTTTGTTTTAATTTAACTCTGACGTATTTTTACTCGAAAGCTTTTTATCTTATCTGTAAGTTTTCATCGAAAATACTCACCGGCTGATGTGCAAGCCAAATACGCAAACAAAAGGGGAAGGGAAAACAAGAGTTTCATAGCGGAGAACTTCATTTTCAAAGCTGTAGATAAAGAAATTTATGTTAATGATCGATTAAATGATCGATTAAATAATCAAGTGATAATAATGAAGTATTGTTGAACTATTAAATAGATCACACAGGAATAGTAAAACGTTTCTTGAACGATGTTAGAACGTGAATGATCCGCGTTTACGATAAATCATACTTGACTAATGTTAGTGAAACACGACTGGTTGGTTGGTTTATGTTAGAAGAAAATTCTGTGGGGGGCAAGTTATCTCTCGGGTTTATCCGAGTGGCTCATCCGACCGGTTAGGAAGGAGGGTAGATAGGGTACACGCGAGTATGCAAAAACAATTTTCTAATTAAAGATTAATCCAAGTATATCCTTTTAAATCAAATGACATGATATTAGGGTGAACTGAAAAGTCGTGTATAAAGTATAATAATTTGACACGAAAATAAAATGCACGAAATTTGGATTTACCCTAATATTTCTATTGAAACTAATTTCAATTTAAACCGAGAAGGGTTAACGTACCAACTGAACTATAAATATTTTCTCTCTGTGTGTGTGTGTTTTTTTTTTCTTTTTTTTAATCGATTAAAATACTAAAATAGTTTTCATACGAGAAAGATTTAATCAAAGATCGGATCGTTCGATGCATAAAAATTCGTGAGTCATCGTCCTCGTAGCGAACTGAATTATCCTTCATAATTCTTTTTGTCTTTATAGTTAATTCGATGGGATTAGAACGATCTATCAAAGCAATACGCGTTTGAGATTTACATCTGTGCACTTATGTTACTGTGAATTAAAATGCGCGATGCATCGGCTCTTACTGTTTGTCATACCATTGAATACAAAAATAAAAAGAGGAAGAAGAACAAACGAGGAGATGATGATAGGTTGGTCATCATCAGGGTTTGCTTGATCGAAACTCCAATTAATATAAACACATATTATACTTATTTTTTTGTTGGTTTTTCTTTCAAAAAGTATACCTAACGAGGTTGGTTAGCAAAGTTGGTGGTAAAAATTAGCGACAGGAACGTATTCTAACTTGTCTCATCCGACCAGTTCCTTTAGAACGACGAAAGAAGATCAAAACAACAAAGCAAACAAAATTAAAAAAATAAAAAAGAAAAGGTAGAAAATATGGGAGTGGAAGAGTATCATCATCTTATCGCACCAGTAGAATTTCTCTCTTCACTTTGTAAAATCGATTTTGCAAATACGCGTGCAAACATTCGAAATTCAAGAAAGATTTCACGGGAGAGATTAGAATCGGAAATTTTTGTTTAGACCGATACCGAGATGTGTCCGAGAGACTATTTACCTGAATATTATTAGATGAGTAGAGAAAAATATTAGAATTTAAATGATCAACGTGTACCATGACTAAAGGTTTACTATCAATTTGCATACAATATCATAGAACGTTGTTTGTTGCATTTTCGAGTTGGTTGTCAGACTGGCTTTTTTTTTTTTTTTTAAAGCGCATTGGCTTCAAGATTGGAATGTTTTTCAAAGAGAATGTGTGTGTGTGTGTGTGTTTTATTTCTTTCATTGATCGTAAAAATGAAGAGACAACAGAGAAAGATAGAATCAAGGACAAAATCTGATCGGTAGAAGAATAAAAATTGTGAAAAGAACTCACCTTTGTGGTGACCGGACACCGGTCGAAGAAAAATCGTGCTCGAAACCGTGGCTAACAGCTCATATATACCCAGGTGGGCCTCATTAGAATTCAGGTGCACGGGGCTCTCTTCGCACGATTGGCTAGTTCGTCGACCCTCTGCCTCTCCCAGTTGTCAACGTTGACAACGAAGAGACTCACTCGTTCACTTTACTCACTTTGTGAGATCCCCCTCATCGTCGTCATCATCATCCTCGTTGTCGTGTCCGTCCTTCGATCTTTTTTTTTTCTTTTTGCTAATGTAACTTTGCTATGTACTCTCCTCCTTTGATGCTATTTGTCTTCCTCTTCCCGTTTCTCGTACTCATATTAAAATATACTCCGTATATACTAATCATTTTCATATTAATCATATTAATTATTTATTAAAAAGATGACTGCAACTATTTACATATCTATTTATGTACACATGCATGTGCATGATGCACTTTATGCTAACAAGACAAATGTTACAAAATGAACATTAAGTTTGTTGAAAGGACGCGAAAGTGAAAAATTTGATTTGAAAATGATTAACCTGCGAGATTGATATTTTTTTGTATAAAAATAAAATATTAGCCTAAACTGGTCTCTCCTAATCGAGCATGTAAACAATGACTGGAAATTCTACAACTTTAAGAGAAAAAGAATATTTTTTCAAGTTATTTCTTATTTTTTAACTTGAGTCTTTTTTTTCTTTTCTACTGAGGGAAGAAAAAGTGTAGGATACTTTCATCATGGAGATTCTTTTAAAACGACCAGTTTAAATACATATCAGTTTAAATTTAACAAGCGATTATTATACTTTTTCCTTCACTATTTCTCGTAGTACACCTCTTTCATTTAATTTATTATCAAATACATCTTTTACGTATTATAATTATTAATAAACATGTTATATTATATATCAGAGATTGCGATTATCCAATTTGTTTGGATCAAATCTAATTGGTCATTCTAATTGTCCTTGACGCATAGTTATCTTATTATTATTGCAATGAATGATAAGATTATCTCGGGTAAATCGATAAAAGTTGTTCATCGTATTAATTTTATTTTCATCGATATAACAATAACAGTGATTTGTGTGTTTCCTTTGAGGTCACGTTTAAAATTATTAGATTTATCTGCAATTTCGCTGTACTTGTGTATACTGGCGTTTAACGCAATGATGACTATTATATTGTATATTTATTTTCACGAGAGCCCTCCAAATAAGAATTTAGGCTATCATTTTTTACGTGTAAATATCGCACACGTAATAATATAATTTGTATGTAAGACGAGCACCCCCATTGATTTAAAATTACTATATGTGTATCCATTAAAGTGCCATCTAAAATCATATGATTAAAATTCGCGAATGTTCGTCAACTTACCGACGAAGGAACATATTTTTTGTCCTTTTTTTTTTTTTTTTTTTTAATTTAGGACCGTACTTTAGAAGGAGGCCCCTTTTTTTCTTTTCTTTTCTTTTATACATTTTTTCTATGTACTTGCGTACTTGCCTATCTAATAACTTTATGTACAGTCATATAATAATAATAATAATAATAATAATAATAATAATAATAATAATAATAATAATAATAATAGTACACCTTTCTGGAAAGAAAAGGTGTATACATGTGTGTGTATGTGTATGTGTATATATATATATATTATATCTATATTATTACAATAACGCGCTTATAAAAAAACCTTGGTAGAGGAAGGCTCAAGAAGTTTTTCCATTTTTTTTTTAATTTTTTTTTTTTTAATTCGAATGATTTACGCCGAATGATTTATACTCGTTTTTTAATGCGCTGACGCAATTACGATTGATCTGTAATTGACAATAGTCTCGTAGCACCTGCGCTCATTAAATTGCCCTAATTTTTTTGGCACTCCGTTTTTTATTCCATTTATTTAGGCTTTTTTTTTGTTTATGCTAAACGTTCTCCGTCGCAGATGAAAAAATTCAATTCGATAATGTCTAAGAGGAACGTAATCATAATCATTTTCTTTCCCTTCTTTCATGGATTACTATGCGAAATTTATATATATATATATATATATATATATATATTTATATTATATTTTAATATGTATTTATGGCAACTGCTGTATTTTCAATTAAATACCATTAAATGCTGTGCGATTATTGTACCTTAACAACTACGATTATTGCTAAATTTCTAATGCATTAACTTAATTATTATTATAATAATAACTGCCATTATTTATTTCATCGCGGTCCCATATCAATATTCTAAATTACATAGGATATCAATGGTGTTTTTTTCGTGTATCTCGACACGATCATGTTGTTTTTTTTCTCTATACAAGTAATAAATTAATTAATTTTTTCCTGTCCTTGTATTTATTCGTATTTATTTTTTGTTTATAGGGCGTCTCATTTTGGCAGTAGTTTATTGATTGTGCTTTTGTTTGACTACTTCATTTTCTTCATCCCTATTCTTGATCGACGAGTAAAAATGAGATCCGTCGTTTTGCCTTTCCATTTGACATCTGAATAATAAATTTAGGAATAATAATTTTCCCTTTGTTGATAGAGTGGCAACGGTGTAACAGGTGAGAGGTCTTCTTCATCCATACTCGATTCAGTCTTCAATGGAAGTGTAGCCAATGCTTTGACTGTCGATGATAAAAAGATCCTGTCAGTGTATCATCGTTGAGAACACGCGATCATCATTATTTTTCAAGCAACGAATGATCGACGACGATTAACAAGCTGTTAAAACGAAATAATGATCCAAAATGAAAGAAAACAAAATCAAACGTAGAAAATCAAAACGAAGAGATTAGAAGAAAGAGGTAGTAGAGGGATGGAAAAGAAAAATGAACAAACCTGAAAAACGATAAACGTGAAGAAGGAGTGCGTGTGTCCTAAGTGGGAGAATCGAGAAAGCATGTCTGTCAGTGCGCCTGGTTACCTACACACAGCACAAACAATCCAAACAACACTCGCTACGTATTAACAAAATTAAAGACAACCAAAAAATACGAAAGAATCCAAAACAAAAAAAAAACAAAAAATAGTTCAACGAGATATTACACTAGAGCACTAACGGATTTTAACACGAGCTTTTGCTATATCAGCTTTTAGTATACCACCTTTGTGGTATTATCGTGGTCAAATATTTTCATTTATTGGCTAGCCAATTTTGAAAAAAAAAAAAAAAAAAAAAGAAAATAAGAAGCCGAGTATTATCGTGTTCATGCTGTAATCACACCGCTGGTCTAAAGAAAAAATGAACCAAGAAAAAAAAAGATGATCGAGATCATGCAAAATTGTTCTCTAATAAAAGATCATTAGAATTATTTTAAAATCGAAAATTCATTTACGGCCGACGTACCAGCTACCATTTTACTCTTCTCCATGACTTCTTTAGCAAGAATTTGATTCATTTGAAGAATATGTTCTCTCTGTCGTTTTTCCTCGACTACTTTTCGTTTCAATTTGTCCGATTTATCGTGATTGATGTTGTCATCTGTAAATTGAGATACAAATGTAGATATTCGAATGTAGACGAATAATCAATATTGTAATCCTTATAGGTCGTAAATAATGAAATAATATATATGTTTATTATTACCAGTTCCCTCGGGTGCAGTTACAGTAGTAGTCTCAGAAAGCATCTTTCTAATTGCTTCGGCTTTTTTCAAACGTTGCTCTTGTTCTTCTGCCGTTAATTCTGGCGTCTAAAGTATTACAAAAAGTTATCTATTTACTTTCTTATTCATAAACAAGTATAACAAGTTAATGAATATTTTATTTGATTTACCTGCTCGGGAATATAACGTTCAGGAATGACAATCTTATTTGGTGTACCCAACAGTTGATCGATCGTACTTTCGTTATATTTCAATTCTTTATGACTTAAAGTCGATCTAACAACATCCGGAGCATTGATTCTAGGTCTAAGAGCTTGTTCCATGTCCAAATCGTCTCTTGCTCTACCCATACCCTGATAATATACCATAAGATAAGATTATTTATCCAAGTGATTTGGATTTCCAAGTGCAATTAAACTAGACAAGGTGATTTTAATAAACGAATAAATTAAATAAGCGTGAGTAGGAGGCTAGCAGAATCGGATGACGGAGCGATGAAGCTTAGTAGTAAAAGAGGATGACGAAATATTAATGAAATAAGAAATCAAAATAAACTTAAAGGTGTACCATCCTGGAGAAGTTGTCCTCGAGATCTAGAATGGGTTTGCTACTAGAAACGGTGTAATGTCTTCTCTTTTCTTTAGGAACTTGTCTTCTTCTTGGACCGTCAACTTTTCTCTCAGTCATCTCTTTGATAATTTGTTTAGCAGCTTCGCTTTTAAACACTGGAGACAATTGGGGTGATACCGGCGTGCTGTTAGCATTAACTATAGAACCTAATGTTGACCTGTCTACAGGTACATCACCACCAACGTTATTGGGTGATACTGGTTCAGGACTCAATGCTATCGAGTTCTTCGCAAATAACGTTGAATTTTCGTATTGCAAATGTGGCGAATAGTATCGTTGTTGTTGCTGTTGTTGTTGTTGTTGTTGTTGTTGTTGTTGATTCAATCCTCTCGTAGTTTGTCCAGAATAATAATTTTGATGAGTTGAATTATTATAAGGCGAACTCGAGTAGTTTGGCAAAATAATTGGCAACTGCGAACTCGACGTAGGACTATCGACGTGTGGTGATAACGTGCTATCGGAGCTTCCATCGTAATTTTCAAACTGCAGCGAGCATAATCAGAAACAGAACGAACGTAAGGTAAAACAAAAAAAAAATAACTAAAATGGATTTACGAAAAAAGAAAATTAACATGAAACTGAATACGTATATGGATGACCAAGAGATATTGGGATTAGGGCAAAGGTAAAACCGGGTATCCGAGTAATCGGAATTTACCTTGACCTTATGTCTTCGCATCATGATCGTTTTAAGAGCGTGCATGCTATCGCTGCGGGGTGGTGGAGCAACGGGAATATGATGAACACCCGGTTGATGTCGTTGACCACCAAATCCTCGTGGAAGAGACATGCTTCTTTGGAATTGTATGTCGTCAAGCTCGGTCAAATGTACGGTACTTTGAGCATGAACGATTGGTGCTTCTTCAACGACTTTACCCAATTGGGCCTTCTACACAAATGACGAGTATTACAAGTATTATATTCACGAAATAAGTCTTATCATCTAATTTCAATCATCTTACTTCGAATTTTTGGGAACCAGCGATGTCATCGTCGGACAATCTTTTTGCTCCACCAGGCGCCTGAAGTCCGTTCGTTAATGGAATCCCAATATTACCATTTCTATCTCCTCGATCTCTTTGACGTCTCTCGGATTCTCGTTTAACGATCCTGACAGTTTTTATTTCTTGCTTTTCTCGATTGTGCAACAAACCTAAGGGATACGATTAAGAATTGAATAAATTGAATGAGAACTTTCCTAACTGTTTTACAAAACTTACCTGTAAATTTATTATCTTCATTTTGTCTGTAATTATCGTTCGTCAATGAAGTTTCTTCGTTAAGAGGATGAAGTGGAGGTGGTGGAACGTATTCCGGTGGTAGGGTAGGTCCACCGTTTGTTTGACTCGTTATACTATCGTTGCTTTTGTTCGTATCTACATGAGTTAAAGGGGGGGGGGCGGGGGAGAGACAGATTGAATAAACATTTCTACGATATCTTAATACGATTATATAATAATCGAATTTCTGTAGTATTTACCTTGAATTCTGGATTCAGTGTTGACGTACAAAGGAGAAACATTGATCTGCATTAAACTACCCTTTCCTTGCATTTGATCTTTTAGCAATTGTTGCTTCAATTGATGTTGTTGAATTTGTTCACGTAATTGAGGCGACAAAGACGATATATGATTATGCGAATTTTGTACAGTTGGTTGTTCGACGTGTTGACGATTTGGCGAAGATAATTTTTTGTGCTGCGTTGGTGAAGCGTATCGACGATAAGGACTTTCTAGATTTTGTTTTCCATGTGTCGAGGATAACAATGATGGACTAGCCGGTGAACCAAGACCATGATCAAGTGTGATTCCAGAATCTAAATCAGTTTCCAACCAAGAGTTCTGAGTGCGTTTCTTTGAATGATGAACTGGCGGCGGAGCTGCAATTATGTTATTATACTTTAGTATGATCACAAATAGACAACTCAAATCAAATAGAAAACTTTGTTTGAAAATGTTTGTACCTGGAGATGACTGTGGTCGAATTTGCTGTACCAAACTATGAGACTTTTCAGTAAGTTGTTGAACTTGAACGCTTAATTCCTTCCTTTGTCTTTGAAGATCACCAACCAATTGTTGAACTCTTCTTAATTCCGTTTCTAAAGGAGCCGTTGTACTTGTTGGGTCTCTCGTTATATTACCAGCGTATCTTCTAGAAGCTTGCAATTTTTGTCTCAACACTACCAAATCTTGTTCCAACCTTGCATTCTCCGCAACTGTTTCTTCCAATTTCTGAAAATGGCATGGAAAATGTATCTTTGTTCGATAAGCACGAAAGAAGAAAATAAAAAAGTAAAAAGAATAAAACATGAGAGATAGAGAGAGAGAGAGAGAGAAAGAAGAACAAAGAATGAACAATGCATGTAGCAATGACAACAACGATAAAAACGACGATAAAAACGATGATCAAAAGGACGAGACCGAAATTATGAAAGATGATACGATTCAAAGTAACTCAAATTTATTGCTTTTGAAAATATTTCATTTACCTGACTTGGTAATATCGGTTTTACCTGTAAACAACGAATCCAACGTTTAATCGTTTAAATAAACTCGTCCCTGTTTTCTACATACGCGTGTCACACGATGTGTTTATCTCAAACAAATTTCGAATCATTTGATTACGATGATCTAACGGAGCAAGTTTAATCATCGAAACTCTCCCAATCCGATCAAACGATCAATTGACATTTTCCCAAATATTTTTACCTTAGAATTGTGCGCCAATAGTATTCTGACTCTGCTCAATTCGCGTTCCAATAAAAGCTGTTGTTTCCTGTAACGTTCCGCTTCAATCAAGTTACTTCTGCTGCCTTGTAATTTATGTCGCAAACCTCCCAAAGCTTTTTCTAGAATTTCCTATATAATAAAGATATAAAGATATTCCTAGATAATAAAGATCATAAAGTTGACAGAAATTTGTGGAGAATACCATTATTATTGCTATTTCATTTAAATCTATACAATATCAGTATTACGAACCTTGTCCTGTTGAAGACTATGCAGGGTACCTGATTCTTCCTGAAGTATTCGATCAAGTTTGTATAACTGTTGTACCTTTGCCTACAACACGACAAAATAATATCGAGTGAACGTTGAATCTTTCAATGCAACAACAAGTAACTCAAATTAATATTTAACGGTTCGTTAGATCGTATTCTTTTAGAAACTCATCATTGGTTAGGTTTTGAATTATTATCGATTACCTGTAATTGTCCATGATCTGGACTGAGTCTATTCCAATCTCTGCGTTCTTCAGCCAACAAACGTTGTTCTTGTACTCGCTGATTAAATTCCAAACGATCCCGATGATTTTTCGCATTTTCTTGGAATAAATCGTTATGAGAATTGGTCACGCTGTTACTTTCGTTCGCAGTATTGCGATTGTACAAAGATCCAAGCTTCACCATGTTGTCGACTAGATTTACCAAAGGTTTTCCTTTCTCGTACTGAAAATCCAAAATGATTAAAAGTTTATTAATTTATGAAAAAATGAAAACATTAACAACAATTTTTGTTTCTATCGTACCTGCTTTTCAAGATCCATCAGGTGTCTCTTTAACTCTTCGAGTTTTTGAAGATTTTCCAGACGCCTTGGTGTGTCCAATTCAGCCAATCTCGCCTACGATGAAAAAAAAAAATAGGAACATAAGTTTGTTTTAAAATATCGTTGAGTTGATCATTGCTAGGATGCAAAACTTGTTTATTCGCAAATTGGAAAGTCTATGCATGCACGTCTCAACGACGGTCAAGAGTATACTGCCGTTCTGACGTTTCCAAGGCCGACATTGAAATACGATATTGCTTCTCCAACGAAACAAGCAAGTACGTAATCCTTTTTCCAGAAAGATGAGAAGTTGTGATGCAAGAGGGGCGAATGGAAAAAAAAGAAAACTATAACTTTATGGTTGATGTTAACATCGAACGATCATCGAAACCTTGCTAACGTGGTTTCATTATACAAAGGAAAAAGATAAGAAGTTAGTTATAAATATTTGAACGAAAATATTGAAAGCATATAACATGAAAGACCTCAGCAAATGAACTTTTATTGTAAGTTCAATAAAAAAAAAAAAAAAAAAAAAAAAAAAAAAAAAAAGAAAAAGAAAAAAAGGTCTGGGCAAATATTGAATCTGATTTTATACCATAAAGAATAATANAAAATTGAAATCTTATCGGACCTGAGCTTCAATTTCCATGTAACAATTGTCCATGGCCTTGAGAAGAGTCGCGTTTTGTCTACGCAGCTGAATAAGCAATAAAACCAGTTCTTCGTGTGTCCTTCCGAGAAGTTCGCCAGCGGATACCCGAACAAGATCGTTTGTTCCAATTTGCGTGGGTGTTAGCGTTGGGGTCAACGTTGGAGTTGGGGTTGGGGTTGGCGTTGGCGTAGTCGTTGGTGTTGACGTTGACGTTGACGTTGACGTAGACGTTGTTGTTGACGTTGCAGTACCAATTGTACCTATTGTACCTGCTGCTGCTGCTGCTGTTGCTGTTGTAGGTGAACCGCTAACTATTCTTCTAGCATTGTTCTATTCGAGAATGACATGCACAATTGTCTTTACGTTAAAAAAACTCTTGCGTGTCCTGGGGCTAGTCGAATTTTATTGGCACGGCCTGAGAAAAGACTATTTGTTTGTTTATTTGTTTATTGGATGTTTCTAGGTCTAGGATATCGTCAGAGCAGAAAATAAAGGGACTCATTTGTTGAGATCTTTCATCGATCGCAAAGATTTCAATGTTTCAATTAATGTGTTTATAAATGTTTAATATCATAGAACGGGATTAACGCGTTTAAAGTATGATATTTGTGAAAGGATTAAATCGAAATAAAATAATAATATCGTAGGAACTGGTCCTCCAGTTTCTTTTCGATCGCGGGTATTCGACTTGGAGCGTCGGTCTCGTTGCAGTGTCTCTCAACCGATCGCGACATTTTTTTCTACGAAATTCAATACTATCAACTATAATAATATAATCGTTAGAATAACATATGTAAAATCTTTGATCAGAAATTGATGAATGAAATTTGTAACAACATCGAACAACATTTATATAAATGAAACACGGTATTATTAACAAGACAAAGCACAAATTGTAAATTGTTTGTGAAATGCACTTTCAAGCTATCTAAAATTTGTTGGTTTTAGCATAAACTACTCACGGATCTAGTGTTTAGCGGGATAGAAAGGTAGGCCTCACATTGCACCTGACGATGACGATGACGATGACGATGACAACGAGAATAACGACAATCATTGACTCTCGGAAAAGTAATATCCGCGAGAGCTCGATTAACCAGTTGAAAGGTTGGAAACCTTTGGGAAAGGAAGAGACTGGCGTCGTGCCCGTTCTCTGATCGGTTTTACTTGACTCGACTCGACTCGACTCCCTTCGCCAACCATTTACCATGTACCATGGTACAATCTACTACGTAAACGGAATCCTTATCCCCACTATCATCCTCTCTCTTTCTCTCTCTCTCTCTCTCTCTTTCTCTCATTTTTACCCCTCTTTTTTCCCCTTTTCAGGGAATTTACCAATGTTTTTTTATGCCCGCGATTATATAAGTTACTAGACAATTTTATTTTAATAGAAATTAATGAGTTTCATTTACATGGGATTGTGGTTCCTTCGAAAGGGGATAAGAGTACCTTTTAACTCTCTGAAGTACGTTGGGATTAAATGTGTCCCACCATTTTGATGCACTGTAATGTACGATGAAACATTTTTAATCTCACCCCGAAATATTGCAATAACTGCATTCTCATAATTTTATATTTACACAAAGCAATTTGTATTAATTTAATAAAAAAATGTCTATGCAACATGGGGTTATTTCATTATCTGAAATCGTGTGCAGCAAAGAATTAATTTGACCGTTGTACGATTCACGTTTCAACCTCGGTAACCCTTTCTTTTTTTACTTTTTGCTGATCACTTCGACCTCGCGTTTATCATGGCCGCATTCGACCAAAAAAAAGTCACACCGATTAATTTTCATTTTGATTTAGGTTGCATACTCTAAAAAAATATGATTTATGTATGCATTAGTGCAAGATGTTATCTAATTCTCCTTAGACGAACCTTAGACGAACCTTCTTCTTCTTCTTCTTCTTCTTTCGAGTTTATCAAATTATATTTGGATCCTTGTGAACGCATCTTAAGGTTCACCCGCAGGTACACGGGTCCTTGGCACGATGCCCTTGCTGACCACCAATCCCTAACCGTATGCAGGGCCGAAGATACTCGTTGTTGGAGACTTGATTTTCTTAATCTCCTTTTCTCCTTTATTTTATTCATTTGTATTTTTCCTTTACGTTTTTTTTTTTTTTTTTTACAGTAAGATAGAGAGAAGAAAAGAGAGAAAATAAGGAGGAATGTCATCCTTTATATTCTCGTCCTTCAAATTAACTTTTCATTTTTCCTACGTATGAATTTTTATTTCTTATTAAGCTAATGCACTTTTAACAACTATGCAACAATCGACGTATAATGCATTTATTTCTTTTTTGTTTTTTGTTTTTTGTTTTTTTTCTTTTTTCTATATGATCATTCGAGGTGAATAAAATACTGACAATGAGAATGAACGTGCGATTCGATTCTATATGTCATTCATTTTGTCTATTTTCGTGCGTGCGAAACGTTTATGATATATCATCAGTGCATGCTCAGTGTTTCATTTTTTGTTGTTGTTGTTGTTGTTGTCTTTTTTTATTTTATTCATCATTCGAAAGTGAATAAGTTGCATACTAAAAATCAAATGTCTATAAAATTCAGGGTTCTATTTGGGCGTATTTGATTATGTTTTATTAATGCTTAATGCGAAATTCTATTTTGAAAAGTACACGTAATGTACATTTCGGGGATAATTTTTATCAAAGTGCGAGATTTGAAATTCTATCAATCGTGTCGGTAAAAGCTTTGCATTATTTATGACACTTTCCACGAGAATATTAAAGCTCAATAAATTTGGTATCAAGACTCATCGACATACGACATATTCATTTGAAATCAGGCAATGAATGTATGCGTATGCGATAAGGGGGGGAGGGGGATAGACAAATTTTAATTAATCGAACTAATGAAATTTACATGCTCGGACGGTAATGCAGGATTTTACACTCGATCGAGGTGAGAGAGAGAGAAAGAGAGTGCTGTAGAGAAGAGAAGAGAACAAAAAATGGAATGGAAGGAGTTACGTGTATGTTTGTGGGATGTAGTTGGGTGTGTTTTGGGTGTGTTTGGGGCATGTCGATGATGATGACGAATGTCTTTTTACGTTTATTCTGAAGAATCTTTCTCATGCTCTGCTGCCATGCCAATAAAAATCGAACGTTCTTTTTTTTTCTCTAGCTTTGAACAAATATCAACTATATAGCTAATAAACTCACCCTTTTGTGAAGTAGTTCACGTTGATTTACTCTGACGTTCATCTCGTTACCACTACTACCACTTCCACCTCCACCTCGGTCCACGTCTATACCAATCGCACCACCAATTCCTTTTCTTTCGACTGTAAAATAATAAAATCATCTGTTTTTTTTTTTTACAATAATAGTAATCAATATTTAGTAATAAGGTAAGGAAAAAGGGTTAACCCTTTTAAAACATTCAAGATCACTTGCACGCCATTACTTACTTGCCATAAGTGTATACGTATATCCATTATTGTTTAACGTTGTTTTATTAAGCACAGATTATTATTATATTATTATTTAAAGATTGTACACAAAATGTTCGTGTAGACACAAGTTATGCGTGACATTTTTCAAGTGTCACGGTGTTCGTCGTATTGAAAAGTATTGCAGGTGAATTGAATGACTCGCCGATTTAGAAAGGCCACCGTAAACCGTGCCGAGGAGAAAATCTGTTAATAGTTTTGATGTACAAGAAAAGAAATGTCAAGAAAATGCGGACGCGCGAATGACTTTTGAGAGAAGATGAAAAAACACAGCTTTCTCCTTTAATTAAAGTCATTTTCCACGAGATCGTCAATACCAGTTTGATGGATGCTGACAAGTTTTAAGAGAGAGAAAGAGAGAAAGAGAGAAAGAAAGAAAGCAACAAAAAGGCTACGCCGACGACGTTCAGGTAGCAATTGAAGAAAGAAAGCTTCTAATAATAAAGAATGAAGATAGAAAATAATTCGATTAGTTTGGAGCTTACTTGGACTGTGAATTTGAATTTCATTCTCGCTTGGACTCGAAATTCGATGCTCGGTCAAATCAATTACTCTCAAATGTCCGCTAGACGAATGTAACCTTTGAGTTGGATGACTATTTGGTGATAATAATTTTAGATTCTTCGCATCATTGTTGTTTGTTCTGAAAAAAATGACAAATTAATTGATCAAAAAGTTAATTAGATTAGAATATTTGTAATATTACTTTATTCGAGTAAACGTTCCTAGTTAGATGGGAATAATTTCATTCAAATCTCCATTTAGATGAAAGTATTCTCCAATCGGTTAGGTTATAGATAACCTACCGATAATAGAACCAATTAGCGATAGTTATGTCAATCGTTATGTCAATCGTTGTACCAATCGAATGTCGAGTTTTGTTACCGATTAAACGATCACAATTAATTTCAATTTGTAGAGGAGTCTAATATGAGAAATTGAACCGAGAATTTGTCTTCTTCTTCATATAAAATCACACGTAAAATCAATCATTTATTCTCTATGTTATGTATTTTATAATAGCTGAAGAAGTCCTAATAAAATGACGAAACTTTCAACAAGATCAAAACACTATGTTTTCATTTTGTTCACCTGTCCAACTTCCCTATGATATATGAAGTTTGTATATATTTTATTTTTTGGACGCGATAAACAACAACTAATAAACAACTAAATTGTTACTATACTTATACGATAAGAGATAATACAAACTGTGCTATACTCGTTCCGATATCTCCGTTACTGGATGCTCGTAAAATTAACGAATCGTTGGTGGTTTGCAATCGTTGTTGCAACTGTTGGTCTTGTTGATGTTGGTGTTGGTGCTGGTGTTGCTTCTCTTGGGGACTCGACTGACGAATAGAAAAATGTTCATGTTGTTGACGATGATTAGCGGTGCTTCGTGGTAATGGTAAAGTAGATGATAAGGTTGATTCCACTGCTGGTGGTTGAGTCAAAGTTCTTTCGGCCAAATGAGATGTACTAACAGCTCTAGGTGGAAGTGGATCTCTTCCAATTACCGATCCAGAACCGGATGCTGCGAAAAAAAAAACACAATATTACAAATGATTATAAATAAATAAATACAAACTTTGTATCATAGGGAAGTTGAACAGATAATAAAATCAGAACATATTGTTTTGATCCAACAACTAAATAGAAAATTTTGTATTTTATAGTTGCCGAAAAAGTCCTAATTTTTATTAGATGAAACGTTCAACAGGATCGAAACAATATATTCGAATATTTTTACTCGTCCAATTGAAAAAAAAAAAAAAAGAAAAAACATCAGTTGCTTGCTTCTGTTCTGTTGAACGAAACGATCAAATGCAGAAATAACAAAATACCAGTTCATATCCTAATAATAGTCTCCAAAGTTATTCGAAACTTGTCTTCGATCGTTCGTTCATGGTATTTCGTATTGATAATCAAATGTATTAGCCCACGATACGCGCGTGTGTGCGTGTGTGTGCATGTGTGTAGGTAAATATAGGCGTTCCACTTGGCATCGGTGCAGAAAAGATCAAGGTATCTGACAGAGACCGTTATGTCTCGGTACACTGTATTATAATATATAGGGTGTCACGTTCCTTTCATTTATATTCAGACTACGCAATGCGCAAACGACAAACGAGTAAAGAAAGAACATCCATTCATTACGAGTAGGAAACACGTTATGAACATAATGTCGTACAATTGCTAACAACGCGACGTAACTTTCTTTTAAGGGCCATTAACCCTTTGCGGTACAATTCAATTCGTGACAGAAAAGATTCTACGGTCGTTACATGGTGGTTTCAACGTATCAGCTGATAGTAATCGAATAAAACAAGAAAGAACAAGAAAGGAAAGAACAAGAAAGGAAATGAAAGGAATGGAATGGAATGGAATGGAATGTCCTGTTTTAAGTTACAGTTTTTTTCTTCAACTTTGATATACATTTTATGCTTTCTACTATTATTATTGTTGTTGTTTCTATCTCGTATTTTGTTAAAATAATAGAATAACGATAATTATTAATGTTACAAGTTGATAGATTTTGATTAGCGAGCACTATCCGTGAAATTATAACATTTTACGATAAATTCAAGTATCGATTTATCTATCATGAGAGCGAATAGTATTATACATAATATTTGTCTATCTTTTATTCTATCTTTTATTATTTTCGTTTCATTCGCTTCGTTCAACTACTAACGTTTAATACTTTTAGCTATATTTGTGTTTCATCTCGACAAATATTTTCATCGTAGTAAAGTTCTATTAAACGTGGAAAACGAAATAGTAAAAGTGGACTGACTGATCGTATTATATATCGGAAATAAAATAGAGTAACATAAATGCACTTTAGTCAAACATTTGTATCATCATTTCGATATACCTGTTGATATATAAAATATCATGTATTTTTTCTCTTTAGAATTATGCTTATTTTTATTTTTGCTTTTCTCTTAACGGTACTCTAGTTTCATTGTTTCCGTGCTGGTATGCTTTCAAAGTTAATGAAGAAACAGAGAAACGTATATATTATATAAGTGAAAATTAATGTTATACCGCATTGGATAAGTCAAAAATCACCTACACTTCATAGGTCGGTGAAAAGATGATTTAGGTTTACTTTGAAAATGAAATTCAAAGTAACTCTAGGAAATATTATATTTTTGCCGTGGTTGAAATTTGCTAGAAATATGCCGAGTGCGAGTAACAGGTGCGCCATCGAGATAAACCAGAGTATCATAACTCCGTCAATGGTACTCCCTCGAGTAAAAGTAGAATTTCTACGTTAGCATGGTTAGACTAAAATACCAATACACCCAAAAAATTATCGTAGTATTGGTTCACACAAGTATATAAATCCTTAATAAACAAAGAAATCTGTAGCATAATATATATAATTTAGCATTTGGCATGATCTTTCAATGCGACATTTTCAACTTGAATTTCTATCTTTCTTCTTGTTTAACTTTGCCAACTTTGCGACCAAGATTTTTAGTCGCGACTGTTTTCCGTAATCTTAGGACTATGCGCTTACGACAGAACGTGGTAATAACCGAGAAGGAGCTTAGTTAGTATAGTGGGAGAAAAAGAGACGAGTGTCGACGGGATGCCAAGTAGCGGTATCTGTAGTGATCAAGTAGGTCGCGGTTGACTCGAATAAAACTCCAGTCCAACTAACCTCTCCCTTCCTTTGCCCCTTTGCCATACTTTATACGTTTGGAAAATTCACTGTGGATCATACAAAACTATTCATATTAGGATGACGAGATTTTAGCAGGAAATACGATACTCGAGCGTGAAATTCAAGGTTATCTTTTACAAAACTGTTGTACTATGTTAAACTCGTTGCTTTCACCCTTTTAATGAAGCATCGTAAACTTCCGTAATGACTCAATAATACTCGCTTATACGAGAATGGTGGGGGGGAAAAAAAAGGAGAGAAAGAAAAGAGTTTTGGCAGATAACTGGCTTCGTTTGGCATAGTTTCGCACGACGATCGGAATTTTCTAACACGCGCGTTACAATTTGTGCCGAATGAGAGAGAGAGAGAGAGAGAAAACTACAATTATGCGATTTTATTTTTGTGATCAAGTTTGAACAACTACATAGAATACTATACGTAAATCTATTTTTATATCAACTTCATGCGCTTGACAACACAGAACCTTTTTTATAATACTATTGGAAGTTATTTGTAGGAATCATTTGATGATCGATTCGATTCCGTCGCGAGCGTACGAGAGTGCAAAAAAAAAAAAAAAAAGAAAAGAAAAAGAAAAAAATCTACGAAAGTACGACAAAGTTGGTGGTAACCGGGGAAGGAGAAGAATGCGCAACATCATTCGTTGCCATAATCGACACTGCGTTCTGAAGGATGATGATGGTGGCATTGAATTGAACATTGAATGGAAAGGCTACGCGTATATTTCTTCTCCTAGTCAGTCAATTAAAAACGAGCTTCGTACTTTCTATCGCGAGAACACGTTCACTTTCTTTTATTCTTAGTCTTAGAAAAAATCCCTTTGAAAGGGAAAACATAGGACCATGATTTTTCTGAGAGAATCAACAAATAAGACAACCTAGACGAATTCTGAAAAGTTATATACGAGTCTGTGTCTGTGTCTGTGTATGTGTGAGAGTTGGTAAAAGGTTCGGATCTAGGTCTTCTTTACAATATTTTCTTTTATCCCCCATTTTAATCTATTGTTCGATAATTTCCTTTATTTACGCACATTTCACCCACTACCTACCCCATCTACGATGATAAATGTTGCATTAAACTGCACTTAGTTAAGTTAGTTAACACTAGATTTATGGATGCTTTGTTCACTATTTTTGAATGACTTACAAACATTGTTTCAGTGATAGGAATGAAAAGAGGGTAGGAATTAATATTTAAGTTTTGTATAAGGATGATTCACCACCAGCTCTTGCCACTTAAATAGCTCTGAAAGTGGATAAGAAAAAAGTTGCATGACAAATTCAGGACTATAATATGACATTAGTATTTCTTTCGTAGGTTCAATCATTTTCTAGATTTATTGGTAAAATTTGTTTTTTTTTTTTTTTTTTTTTAAATACAATGTTATATACGGACGAGCATCGGACGAGGAACGCAAGCGTTCCAAGATAACGGTACTCGTTCGTTCGACTGGATTTTGCACGTCGAGTATTTTACCTATATCTAATAATGCACGACATTCTCATATTATACATAATATTTATTAAGTATGCGAAAGTTAATATAAGAAAATCGAATAGAGAGTAGGGGGGAGAGGGAGGGACACTGATAACGATAATTGATGTGATTCAATTTCACTCTCATTGTCAAATTCGACGAAACCCCTTTTAACATGGAATAATTTCCAAATTCTAAAACTATAATTAGTTAATTATTTTTAAACAATCTGCTTTATTCATTTTATCCACGTGAAAGTTAGATTGGTGCAATGATCCAGATAACTTTGTAATTATTATAATAAATGGAGTAGAATAAAATAACTTAGGTTGAAATGATTATTTCATTTGGATTGTTTTTAGAGCGAATCTAATCTTGGCGATTTGGAAAATGGTCAAATTTGATGGAAAAGAAAGAAAAAAAAGAAAGAAAAAAAAATGTACGTACTGTACTTGCCTGACCAACAGCTTCCACAAATCAATCCAACTTTTCCACCCATTTCTCTATCACTGTTTCTTATTAATGGTTTTTTTTTTTTTTTTTTTAGGTTTTTAGGCACACATCACTATAGTCAAAATATCTTCTTTCCTTTTCTTCTTTGTTTTCCTCGTTGTCGTTGTCGTTGTCGTCGTCGTAGTAATTGTAAACAGAAATAGACGCAAATACGAAAAGTGTTGTTAAAAGACACTTGGTGTTTGTTTTCTTTTTCGCGAGAGGTAATATTCATTTGACGTACGATGTTTTGCTGTCATAGATATTGCAACTTTGAAAATTAATCCGAGAAATGAACATTTCAAACCGTAACACTAATCGATACACCTATAATTTTCTCAATTAATTTTTATCGGCTTCTAACTTTTTCAACAAAATGATGAAAATTATTTAGGATGAATGAAAAAAGTTCGCGTGTTTTACTTTATTAATATTTCACTGACATATAAAGAATAATAATTGTATTAACGTTCAAAAAAACAAAACTTACACTATTTAAAGCAACAGAAATAAAATGCGTGAACGAACATTTGGTTCATCCTAATATTAAATATCAATTGTTTATTCAATGTTAAACGATCGGTGCTTGAGTAACCTTTTCTTTTTTTTCGATTTTTTTCTCTGTTTTTTTTTTTTTTTTTTTAAACGCGAATGAATCCAATGATCAACAAGAGATTGAAAAAGTACGTCCAAACACGCGGAGCACCACCGGCTGACTGACACTGACTGACTGACTGACTGACGTAAGAAGTGAGCGGTAAAGAACGTGCACCACACTGATCGTATTTACGTACGAGTGTCTGCGTATTTGTGTTTGTGTTTGTGTTTGTGTGTCCACTACGTTTTACATGAACGCGCGCGAGCGCCTT